ATGACTATCACAACTTTTCAAGGTTCTTTTTATTGACAGAATGTATATGTATATAATGTTATGTTTTAATATGTAAAAAGGATTGCACCATGCAGCTTATTTGTGACCTTCTTTTCATTTTTCCTTCAGAACTACATACTGGGCATGCATCCCTAAATGTCCATGTGGGTTTACCTGATTCCTAAGGCTTCATGTATGGATGTGATTATGTATTGCATACTCAGTTCCTTACTTATAATTACATACTTTCATTATTAAAGTAGTTTTATAGATTAAAGTTATGCTTGCAAACAACTGAAAATATTAACATGGTAAAGATGTGTTTACAATTAAAAATACAGAAATGTTAGCTGGACATGGTAGTACACACCTGTAGTTCCAGCTACTTGGAAGGCTGAGGAGGAAGGATCACTGGAGCCCAGCAGGTCGACACTGGGATGGCCGGGAGCGTGCCACTGCGCTCTAGCCTGGGCGATGGAGTGAGACTCCAACTCAAAAAAAAAAAAAAAAAAATAGAAATGTCTAAATAAAAAAATCCTTTCTCACTTTCCAACCACATGTTACCAAGATATACCCACATTTCATAGTTTTTAAAATAATTTGGTAGTTATGAGTCTATTACTTAAAATATATATATATTTCAATGCTAATTTCATCATATTTGGAAATGTCTCTTGATTCTCTGCTATGAAAGATGAGAAATTCAGTACTTCTGTACTCCAGACTTAGATTTTGGTTATGTTATTATTTTTACATTGGAAACATCTTTACATTCTGTTCTGCAACAATAATTATTAGTCTCACATATTTTGTGTAAATTTCAGTTTCTTTTTTATCTTTCTTCTTAAGACAGGATCTTACTCTGTTGCCCAAGCTGGAGTACAATGTGCACTCATAGCGCACTGCAATCTTAAACTCCTGAGCTCAAGTGATTCTCCTGCCTTAGCCTCCCAAGTAGCTGGGGCTATAGGTGAGCACCACCATGCCTGGCTAATTAAATTTTGGTTCTATAAATGTGAACACATGTAAGAGTATTTCAGATCTATGATGATATATATTTAATTCGCTTAGGAGCCAAGTAGTATGAATAGCACAAAAGAGGTCATTGTACTCTATGATTAAAACAAAACAAACAAACAAAATTCTTATTGCTTAAAGGTGAATATTCCAAGTGTTGGAGATTAATTTGGTTTTCTACTTTTCATCAGTTAAAAATTTTTTTCAAATCATAAATCACTAGAATTTGAGAACTAACTCATTTAATCCTCACTTCAGTCCTGTAGGATTTGTTCGATTATTAATCCCATTTCACAGATTAGGAAACTGATGTACAAAGAAGTTAAATTTCTCATCCAAGATCACACAGTTGGCTCCAGTACCAATACTCTAAACTAATACATTTTGCTTCCTTTCTTGCTTTATTGGTGAAGTATCTTCATAAATCTTTCTGAAAATACAAATTCAATTATTTTAATGGTATTGTTGTTATCTTAATTACCTTTTTTTCTCCAAGACTAGAACTTTTATTTGTTTATATTAGTTTTTCTCTAATCTATTAATTAAGTTGAACGTAAATACACCAATGTCGATTGCTCCTGAAATCAGTTGTTAAAGCCCTGCTGAGGCCCTTAGGTTCCTGAAGGGCTGACTCTATTTCCCTCCAAACTTATTTCCTTTCCTCCCTTGCTAGTGATGCTTCTGCCCTACTAGCTTTTCCCTATCCTTTTCCTTTTTAAATGTATTACTATTTATTATTTTTAATTTCAACAGATTTGGGTTACAGGTGGTTTTTGGTTACGTGGATGAATTGTGTAGTTTGGACTTTTTGTGTACTTGTCACCCGAATAATGTACATTTTTCTTTTTGCCTCTTCTAAACTCTTGCTCTCTTAATGAGGCTGCATTATTTATTGAATCTGCCTGGAAGTTACTCCTAAGTTCTTTGTTTGGCTAGGGTTTAATTATACTTTAAATTTCTGCTCAAATATCAGCTTATCAGAAATGATCACCTTGGCATCTCAATCCAAAGTGCCCCTCATCTGGACACCCTGTTCCCTGATAGTACTTAATGCATCCATGACGAGCATGTTTATTGTCTAGAGAGTCGTGGCAGGGACTTCACATGTCTTGATCACCATTCACCATCCCCCAGACCTAGCACTATGCCCAGAGCGGAGCAGGCAGTGAAGAAGTTGAAATCATACAAGCACCCCTGTCCAAATAAATAACTAGTGTTTCCACCTAACATTGAAATACAGCAACCAGTTCTCACACCAATTTAAATAGATAAGGAGAAGAACAAATGCAAGAGAAATGACAACAGAGTCATTTCACATTTATTGAAGATCTCATTTGTAGGAGAAAAAAAAATCCACACTTAATTTTGAAATCTATTATCTATAAAATCCAGCATTATGTTTTAAAATGAGAATACTTCACTGTAGCTGCATATTCATTGAGTATAAGTTCCACTTTTCATTCCATTTTCTAAATGTATAGTTGTGTTTTAATTAAGGGCAATCTCTTCCATTAGTGGCCTTTGGGAAATAGTCCACTGATTAAGGATGAGAAACAAATAGGTGACATTTACAAGGACACCATCACTCCGAAGCACATATGTCTGTTCCTGTGAAAGGAGACCAATTACAAGTCCCACAGTGTGGTGTTACTAATGGTCCTCAGCTGGGCAATCTTCTGAAAAGTACAATTTTTGATTGGAATGCAATTTACTTTTCTGTAGGTAATGGAGAAAGGGTCAACTCATCAGAGAATATAGAAAAGGGGGTGTGAGGGGCGGGTGGTGGAGACAGCATCTGTTAGGTAAAGAGTAAGAAAGTGGAAATAAAACCTTGAGAACATTCTTCAGCTGATACACAAAAACACTACAAAAATATAATCTTTGGGGCCAGAGTTTGAATCCATGGCTCTTTTTAGGAGCAGTTTTGCTAAGGCTAGATAATTTAATATCTAACACAGCCAACAAACATTATATACTACTAAGCTAAAATAGCTTCATAAGGATATGGCCACATCTTGGGCAATTACTCCCAGACATAAAACAATTAAAAAGACTCCAGGCCTTCTCCTTTACCCAGTCACTAATTCGTTCATGAGACAATTTTTTGTTTTTCCAAATTTTTGAAATTTAATTTCTCCTCCTAATGAATGACTCTGAGTATAGAGTTAATGTCATTTTAAAAATATTGCTCAGTTACTGTTTTTTTAAAGGTTATGAGAAACCCAGGTTCAACTGAAGCAGTCAAGTAAGCTTCCCCCCACCCTAAAGGAAGCAGGGAATTTATTCCTGAGACAAAGTGAACCAAAGAGGATGTGGATTTGGGCATACCAGGCCTGTCAGAAGGTAAGGGTAAGGACCAGACTGAAAATAGGAAGATAAATAGCTGCAGGTATAGTAAGCACCCTGGCCCCAGTCTTCCTTATTGCTGTTTTAAAGAATAAAGGCAGCTAAGCTTATTACCAACACACAGGTACACACATACATGCACACACAGTGGCAGATCATCAGCGGATTCATCTCCAAAGGACTTCATGGGTCCAGACAAAAGACCTACAGGTTTATATATTGTCCAAAGAGGAGAAAGAAGCCTAGATGAGAAACTCAGGAGGAAAGTAACATTTAAACTGACTAAAAAAATGAAACTCAAGAAAGAGAGTGAGAGAAAGGAAGGAAGGAAGGAATGAAGGCATGAAAGAGGGGAGAAATGAAGGGAGGGAGAGAGGGAGGGGGAGGGAGAGACAGAGGAAGGAAGGAAGGAAGGAAGAAAGAAAGGAGGGAGAGAGGAATTAATTTCAATAGGTTCCTCCCTCCTTCTCTCCCTTCTCGCTCCTTCCCTAACTCCCTCCTTCCTTCCTCCCTTTCTCCCTCTCTTCTTGCAGGAGAGAGGGAGAGAGGAAAGAAGAAAGACAGGAAGAAAGGGAGGGAAAAAGGGAGGGAGGGAAGGAGAGGGAAAGGGGAGGAGGGAGGAAAAATGTTAAAGAGGTAGTAGAAACACCAGGAAAAATAAGCATGGTTGTGTATGAAGATAAGATGACAAGCCGGCTCGGTGGCTCAGCCTGTAATCCCGCACCTTGGGAGGCTGAGGTGAGTAGATTGCCTGAGCCCGCGGGTTCGAGACCCGCCTGGGCAACTTGGCGAGACGTCATCTCTACAATAAATCAAAAATCAGCCGGGCATGGTAGCGTGCACCTGTAGTTCCGGCTACTCGGAAGACTGAGTGGAAGGATCCCCGGAGCCCAGCAGGTCGAGGCTGCAGCTGGGAGCGGCCACTGCACTCCAGTCTGGGCAACAAAGTGATACTCCAACTCAAAAAAAAAAGATGACACTGCCCAGTGTCAAATGCTGAGGAGAGCTTAAGCCACATGACAGTGGAAATATGCCTGCTGAAAATCATCGTGCTTTGTTTATAACCTTTACAAGAGCATTTTTTTCTAGAGCAGAGAGAGGAGAAGCCAGAGCATGGGCTGAGGAATAAGTGGGAAATGAGACTATCAAGGGAAGTTTCATAGGTCATTATTTCAACATGTTTGGCTATAAAGGAGATGAGAGATTTGGCAAAGAGTGGAAGGTTGGAATGAGTGAGGTTTTTGTTTGTTAGTATTCCCAATTTTGTTTTTAAGAAAGGGGTTCATGGGCATCTAAGTCCTTATTGAGAGAAGCAAGTTGACAAAAAAGAAAGAGAAGTTGGATCAGCAATGAAGTTAGGTCATGACAGGAGTAGAACTAGGGCTCAGGTGGGGAGAAGAGTTCATGCAAGAGAGGAACGCCTCATTGAATGGGAGTGCGAGTTTACAGACGTGGTAGCAGGAAGACAAAGGAGATCTTTTTCAAATGTCTGTTTTCTCTGTAACTAAATGTTGAGGTCACATGTTGAGAAACAGGAGCAATAAAAAAGAGAAGTTCGAGGTTTCAGGGCAGTCAGAATAGAGAAGAGAAGCAAGGGTTGACAGGGAACTG